CCTGGCTCTAAAGCCCTGAGTTCAATCCCCACCACTGTAAAATTTAAAAAGAAAAAAAAGAGAGAATATTTCAAGATGCACCATACACCTGTAGAGTCAAGTCCTTTAAGGTGATCCTGAAATAGAGCCACTTTTATATTAAAAGTAAACTCCCTGATAACTGGTTTTCTGCAGCCGGAGTTTCCAAGGAAGTTGAAACTATGACACTTTCTCTGATTAGCACAGCCTAGTTAAATCTAAATACGTGTATTTCCTTGCTTTTGTTTCTATAATTTTTTTTAGGGGGGCCATACTGAGGATTGAATTCAGGGGCACTGGACCACTGAGCCACACCTTCAGCCCTATTTTGTACTTTATTTAGAGACAGGGTCTCACTGAGTTGCTTAGTTGCTTTGCTTTTGCTGAGGTTGGCTTTGAACTCGTGATCATCCTGCCTCAGCACCCCAAGTCACTGGGATTACAGGCATGCACCAATGTACCAGGCTTGTTTCTATAATTTTTAAAATATTTTTTTAGTTATAAATGGTCCTTTATTTTATCTATTTATTTTTTTGTGGTGGTAAAGATCAAACCCAGTGCCTCAAGTATGCTAGGCAAGCACTCTACCACTGAGCCACAACCCCATCCCTGTTTCTATAAATTTTAAATGCTTCTACAGTTCCAGCAGAGAAACAACCTAACTGCTTATCTCCAATATGATCAAGCTGCTTTAAATTCTTTTTTTTTTACATCATTTGCTTATTTCTTATGGGCAAGTGACCAATTCCATCAAGCTAGGATAGCCAGGAAACAAGCGTTTCCCTGCCTTTACTGCCAGTAACATCTTCATGCACCCCAGGATACCAAAACTGCAGTGTAAAGAGCCACAGAGCTCTATTAGTTGCAAGGCCTAGAGATGTGAAGATAAATGAGATATGGAGTACCAAATCACTGAGGACATCAGAAGGCACAGGAAATGTCTTAGCAGTTTCTCTAGGTTCCCAGGCCCCCCAAAGCAGATGGGGGAGTATTTGTCTTAGTTCATTTACTGTGGCCATAATAAAATGCCTGAGACGCAGTAATTTACAAAAAGAGGTTTCTTTACGTCACAGTCCTGGAAGTCCAAGAGCATGGCACCAGCATCTGTTCAGCTTCTGGTAAAAGTCACAGGCTGCTCCATGTGTAGGAGAAAAACAAAAGTTGGGTGTGTGCAGAAGAGAGGATCATGTGGTAACAGAGGAAGTAAGAGAAAGCCAAGGAAGCCAAACTCACTTTATAACAACCCACTCTCCCCAAAACTCACCCACTCTCAAGGGAATTACTTTAATACCTTAATGAGGGTAAATCATTTTTTTTTTAATATTTTTTAGTTTTTTAGGTGGACACAATATCTTTATTTTTATGTGGTGCTGAGGATCGAACCTGGTGCCTCATGCATGCTAGGCAAGCACTCTACCACTGAGCCACAATCCCAGCCCATGGGGTAAATCTTGCATGACTCAAAATACCTCTGCTTTCCCGTTTCTCAATGTCATTATACTGGCCAGGTATGGTGGCACACACCTGTAATCCCAGCAGCTCAGGAGGTTGTCATGAGGATCACGAGTTCAAAGGCAGCCTCAGCAATTAATAAGGCCCTAAGTAACTTAATTAGACCCTGTCTCAAAATAAAATCTAAAAGCTGGGGATGTGGCTCAGTGGTTAAATGTCCCTGGGTTCAATCCCTGGTATCAAAAAAAAAAAAAAAAAGAGGGGCTGGAGTTGTGGCTCAAGTGGTAGCACGCTTGCCTGGCATACGCAAGGCACTAGGTTCAATCCTCAGCACCACATAAAGATATTGTGTCCACCCAAAAAAAACTAAAAAATAAATATTTAAAAGAAAGAAAGACCATCATTACACTGGGAGCAAACGTCAATTTTGGTGTGGACAAACGATATTCACACCATAACAGTACTAAAAGAGGAGATACTGTCCTCTAGGACACAAATGCTGAAAGGATCCACTTCTTTGTTTACATTTCATCATCTTACATCCCAAGGGAGATTGACTGGGTCAGACCACTCAACAAGGAACACCTCAATTTGGCAGTGTTGCCCACAAACTCCATCTCTCACCCAGTCAGCCATGGCAGACATGGGATCATTCCCATCAATGCACACAGCTCAAGTCGGGGCAACTCTATGCAGCAAGAACATGTGGCCACTGTGAAAAGAAAGTTCCCTGACATAATTCCAACCAAAGGGAACATAAATGACTGAGAGGTCAGACTATGACTAAACATAGCAGAGAGACAAAGACAAGGATAGTACCTGGAAGACACAGGACTCCTCGGATAGTTGGCTTTGGCTGCAGGAGTCCCCAAAACAGTCAAAGATGCTTCTCTCCTTCCAATCTTCTCTTCTTCACTCAGGGTAGGATTTCATCACAATCTGATGGCCCTCCCCATTTTCTCTCACACAGGTATCTGCCCTTATAAAGTTCTTGAATATTTAATCTTGGTATTGCCTTCTCAAGTACCCACTTCCTGAGAAAGAGACTAGGGACTCTTGGATACCAGCATCTCTCCTCAGCCACCCATATAGAAAGTTCAATGCCATGGATGTACATTAGGAAGAAGGTGCTTGAGAGATCCAGAATGGACAGTGAGTAACTCTGGAGGCTTAGACAGTCAAGACAGGAAAATAAATTGTAGTGTTTGGAGTGTCTTGAAGGCATTCCTAGAGAGAGAGTTCCAAGATGTAGGGAGTGTAGGGACCCCAAGAATTCTATAGGGCCCAAGTGTAGGAATACATGGGACAGTGATAGAGGGTGAGCATGGAGAATGACTGGGAACCTCAAATGCAGAGCCAAAGACTTAGGGCTTGATCCTATAGGCAACAGGGAGTTGTTGAAAGTTTTGAGCAACTAAAACATCTGACCACATTTGTAGGTTGTTATTGGAGTCATTTGCTTGTTTTTTGTTTTTGTTTTTATTTTCCAATGCTGGGGATGGAACTTTTTTTTTTAGAAAGATCATCTAAAGGCAAAGAGGGCAATTCGAAGGCTACTGTCTAAAAACAGGTCATTTATCTCTTCACACAGATTTAATGAGGAAGCTCGATTATAATAGTTTTTATTAATGGTACTGGATTCTACAACCAAGTAATCCTTTTAACTTTATTGCTTTACTTTCTAGCATGAAAGAACTTCTTAAATTAATCCTCCATGTCTCCCAAAGCCAAGGTCTACAGGCCTCCCTCTGAGAGACACACTCAAATGTATTCCCCCTTTAAGTCTTTCTTATCCCACTCACAATCTCCTTTTACCTTCTCAGTCCCATAATCAGCCCCCATCAAGAAAATTGTTGCAGTAATTCACTTGCAGGTCAGCATGGGAAAAGAAAGAAGAAGCAGAGCAAGCAAAACAGCAGCAGAAAAAAAGTCCTTTATTGTGTACAAGCAATCTTTTTATAGTCTTGTGAACAAAGAAGTCAGCCTTCCAACATCAATAAATCAGGTCTTTCAGCTAATTAAACACAGCATACAGAAGTTTTACTTTCTAATCAGAAGTGACCCGCTTCTCATGGCTAATCTACTCTCGGCCCGGAGTATGTTGAGCTCTGCTCTTTGTTAAGAACAGATAATAAAATTTTTCTCAGCGCCCTCCTAGCCCACTTGGCAGAACATCCCGTTTGCAGGCAAGTCCTCCCAAGGACAGCAGACACCTTGTTTTCAAGCATGTCCGCAGTTACCTTATCTAAACCTTGAAGGAGCCTCTCGTTTGCAAGTAGGCCCTCCCAAGGACAGCAGACACCTCGTTTTCAAGCATGTCCGCTGTTACCTATCTATACCTTGACAGAATATCCTGTTTGCAGGCAGACTCCATCAAGGACAGTAATAGTAACACAGTCACATCTGATTCTCTACAGAAAATCCCCACACAGATTCAGGAGCCAAGGGACCCCAGGCTCTGTCTGTTACACAGCAGTAGTGACAGTTCCAGCCTGTGAGAGTGAATGATCAGGGCCATCACCTTCCCTTTGGATAAATGGTAGAGCAGCCTCTAATCCTACCTGCTCAAATCCCCAAAGGCCTCTCCCTCCAGCAAACTCACCTTAAGCCTTAATGGTTACTCTGGAGCAGCCTCTGAGATAAAACTAAAGGTGTGAACCAAGAGGTAAGTAGTGAGAGGTCTATTCTGTAAACCCTAGTGGGAATCTTTTATTTTCCACAAGCAGCAGGGCCCAAAGAGGGTTTAGCATCAGGTTTTTTCTCTTGGTGGGCAACCTGGGGGATTTCCTCGGTGTCTAAAACATTCCAGAAGCAAAGGGAAATAAGTTGAAGTTTGATTTATTTACCCACCAAGGATCTGGCAGTTTTTAAATGTCTGTAGAATGGAGGAATATATTTTGGACTTATGACTTGATCTAACTAGTGGCTGGCTAAAGAGGCAGGGTGTGCTTCTAAGTGTGATCCCACTGTGACCAGCAGCATCAGGATCCCCAGTGAACTTATTAAAAGTGATCATTTCTTGTTGCCTCAGACCTACTGCATCAGAAAATCAACTATCTATGTTTTATCTAGTCACTACTCCATGATTTGAAAAAGACCATCTGAAACAAGCACTAAGTAAAAGGTCTTCAGGTTTGGGGAGTCTAGAGTTCCTGCCCCAGGGCCTTACAGAGAAGTGGGATGTGAGGCTCCAGGCACCCCTTCTACAGATTTCTCAAACTTCTCACCTCAATCTTCACCAAATCTAACCCGCATTCCCTCTTCTCCCTCAACCTCAGTTTCTTCCTGGAACTCTGGGCCTCCTGGTCCCCAGAGAAAGATTACCTAACTGACCTGACTCTGGATCTCCCTTCCTTATGGGTTCCATTCACAAGGACACCCTAATCTCTCTCAGTTGTTCCCATTTATGCCAACTCCCATACTTTTCAGAACTTTTGGAGACACCCCAGTATCCAGCCCCTCTGCCCTGTCTTCAGCCCTGGCCACCCGCCCCCCACCCAAGTCCCTCCAGGCCTGACAAAGGAGACTAAGCCTCCTATGGTCAGGACCCCAGCACCCCTCTCCCACCCAGACAGGTGGCTCAGGCCTCCTCCCCATCAGGCCCCACAAGCAGTAGCGGCTGGGCGTTCTTGCCCTTGTCATGCCAGCACACGTCAAAGAAGGGATACACCGGCCCAGGCAGGCGCTCGTGGAAGGCAAAGAGCAGCTCCAGCGCGTCGGAATTACTAGCATCATAGAAAGAGAGGACACCATCACAGAAGCTTAGGTAGAGGCCCACCCGTGAAGGCCGCCTGTCAGAGTTTCGCAGAGCACGTGGCTCCTTGGCCTCCACGTGCGCCTCCAGGATCTTGCCATCGCGCAGCCCCAGCAGCCAAAGGCCCTGTGAGGGTACTGCGTGCAGTCGGCCACGTCGGGTGGCATCCGCTGCCATCACGCCGAGAGCCCAGCGAGGCTTGTCGCCCACCTCTACCTCCCAGTAGTGCTCGCCATCGGAGAGCAGCTGGTGCGCCACCACCGCCACGGCCTTGTCGAACTGGCGAGTATCCTCGCCAGCTGGCGGCGCTTTCTGCTCGGAGCATTCCACACGGCGGCCGGAGGGAGACACCACCAGACTGGGGTGCGCTGAGCTTGGGTCAAAAGTCAGCTCCTCCAGCACTGCCAGAGAGACAGTAGTCAGGCCCTTGCCTCCTTGAGCCTCCTCTCTACCAGCGTAGGGCCAGCTTGTTTCCTCTAATCCTCTCAATATTTCTGGATGTGGGCCCCTCTCTGCTTTCTAGCTAGGGCCAAAAACACACCACTGAACTTCAGTTTGCTCAGCTGTAAAAGGAGGCCGTGATTACCTCTCTAGGTGGTGGGGAGCAAGACTAAGTTGAAATAAGGAATACCACTGACTATCTGAGTGAGGCCCAGGGTCACAGAGCAAGAAATAGAACAGTTCACATTCTAGCTTGACCTATCCTCTGGGCCATAGTTGTCTCTTAAATATGCTGGGGACACCTCCAATCCACCCCAACCCCCAGAGGCAGTAAGGGCGGCACCAGGCATAAGTGTTTGTGTGGAGCTCTGTAACCTATAGCACTCAGAGGTGCTCTAGCTCATTGGAATGGAGGCTGAATTCTTGGACCTCCCCAAATATAGTCCATTAATATCAGTGTCTCACCTAGGCCAGAGTCCTCAAGGTTCCAGGAATTCTGCAGATCCTCAGCCCCCAATTAGCAGAAATCATCAACTCCATACCCAGAGAAGGGCAGGGACTGGCCAAGGATCATACAGGGAATCAATGGTTCAAACCCAGGCCCCAGCCTCCCATCTGCTGCAGCAGCAAACCCCGAGATTAGCTGCATTCTTTCCTTGTCAGAAACCCACTGTCAACCCCATGCCCTTAAAGGTCCTCCTCCAAGTACAATTTATAGGGCTGCAGAGGTAAAAAGGCAATGGGCACCTTCCAAGCTGGGGTTGGCAGGCCTCTCTACATGTGGCTGGGGTCTGCTATCAACACCCGCACCCCATTACACAAACCCTGAGTCAGCCCCTCCCAGTACCTGGCATCAGAGCCCGGAACATCTTCTTCCACACCTGAAACTTGAAGTCATCTGAGATCACAGGCAGTTGGATATCCAGACGTGCAGGTGGTGGTGATTCTGATAGGATTTTCTGCAGTCTGGAGGTGGAGAGATGAGAGAGAAGTGATTGTGTGCAAGAAGAGTAAGAGAAAGTGCCCAAGGACAGAAAGACAGAGGCTATGGGAGAGGAAGCTCCAGGATCTCCCCACATCACACTCCTGCTTAAATCTCTTCTACTGAAGTTTCACTTTGGGAATGTAAAAAAAAAAAAAATCCTGGAAATGGATGGAGATAGTTGTTGCACAACATGAATATACTTAATGCCACTGAACAAAAACTGTGCATTTAAAATGGCCAAATTTGTGTTATATACATTCAACCACAATATGGGGGCAGGGGACCTTCTGTTGAAACAAAGTCCAAGCTTCTCATCCCTTTCAGTTCTTGCACTTGCTTTTCACTCTGTCCCCCACTGGCCACCCCTTTCCCTCTCCAGCAGCATCAAGCACACAATGATGCCTCTGTCCCTGCCCATGTCTACCCTAAAGTCCTCAAGAATAAGGACCAGGTCTGGTTCATGTCTATGTTCAATACAAAGTTCAGGGACACAGTAGTGGGTGAATAGGGGTTTGCAGATTTATTGTGAGTAGAGGGTAAGCCATCTAGTGACCCTAGAAGACTAGTACAAGTTGGGCTAAGGAGTAGAGCCAAGTTGATCTCACCTGCTGGTCACCAGGCAGTATTTCTGGAAAGAGAGAGAAAAAAAAAAATAATGGAAGTAAAGCACACAGGAAGGACTCTAGGGATTTCTGAGGATGGGATAGACAAACACAAATGCTGAGTATAAGATCAGGAAAAATCAGAGAAATTAAGATACACACGCTCAAGGCCATCCCAGTCTTTTACCTTTATGTAAATTTAAAAAAAAAAAGTGCCCCCTCACCAAGAAACTTGAATTTACCTGTTAAATATTTACACTAATAATGAATAAATAAATAATTATTATTTTTAGTAAAAAAAAAAAAAGAAAGAAAGAAAATTGTGCTACTAATTATGCAAACCTATAATGTCTGTGATATGGATGGTACCCACTTAAAGATAGTATTCTTCTGCAATGTCCAGCCTAAACTACAGTCCTGAAGCCTACTCCCTGAATATGTGACCCTGGTTCATCCCTGACCCTCTCTGGGCCTCAGGGTCCCCATTTGACAATGGGATGAAGCCTGAGCCAGGGGACTTGGGAGAGGAAGTCATTCAATGCTCACCATGAGAAATTCAGTCTGTGGCTTGTCAGCTACCTCCTCCAGCACCTTCTCCATCTGCCGCAGCTGCTCCAGGTAAGAGTTCAAACCTGCCAGCTCCCGCCGCAAAGCAACTCCTGCCTCACCCCGAACTTTTTCTGCCTCACGGTCTAAAGAACCCTCCAGCGCAGCCAGGAACACCCGCATCTTGCCCAGCTGCTCCCCAACAGCACTCCGGAACTGACGCACTGTCTCCTGGGGGAAATGGGAGAGAAGCAAAAGTATTTGGCTGGGAACTCCCAGCCTGGACCACCAGCAGGCTCTGCCATGCTAGCCCCTCACCTCCACCTCCATCAACTGATGCTCCAGCACAGCCACACTCTTCTCCTTGTGCATACAGGCCTCCTGCAGCTGCAGCTTCTGCTGTGGGAGTTGTGTCTGGGAAGCAGGGCAAAGAGGGAATTTGTGCTGCCCACTCCAAACCCACACCTTCTCCCTAAACTCATCCTCTGTAGCTCAACCTCAAAGCCAGCTCTACTTCCAGCCACATCCTCAACCCCAAACACATTTGCATGCCTTAAGGCCCTGGTCAGTCAGTTTTGTTAACTCGTCTCTGGCCTTACCTTCCACTGACCCTATCCTCTCATAGGTCTTTGCCAGAATCATAAACACAAATGCTGTTTGGACTCCCCCCTTCCACCCCCAGTCAGGGAAGTACAGTACTTGGCACATAACTGGCTTTCAGGATGAATAAAGGATGTGGAAAAGAAGAAATGTAATCTCTCCCTATTCCTGACTTCACACCTTACTTAAAAGCAGAACATCAGCCTAATTTCCAGCCAGGCTTCCTGCACACTCTGGGCTCTGGGAGCAGGCAATTTAATACATAAGATCCCTGCATGGACCAAGCAAACACAGCTGGATCCTACCCAAGACCTGTTAGTTTGTGAAATGAGAGTATAGGGAAACTCCTAATTGCTCCTGCCAAAGCCACTTCTTGCTGCAAGGTCCTAGAATCACCCATGCCTTACTGCCTACATGGCTTCCAACCTCGATTTTTTTCCTCTGCAGAATGGGAGCAGCCATGCCCACCTCAACAAATTGGAACCTTCTATTCTCTCAGGGGGAACCTGGGGGCCCATTAGGTGTTTGCGGAGTCCCCGCCCAGCAGGAGCCAGCCTCCTCCTGGGCTGGCTGCCAGATCAGTCTCCTCCCTAAGACGTCCTCTCAGGCGTAGTCCGACTGGTGCGGGACAGACAAGTCCGGAGGCTCAAGGAGCTGGCTTTCGGAGGTTCAGAGGTTGCAGAGCTGAGCCATGGGGAAGAAACGCGACGCCATCCTGGAGGCATTGGAGAACCTGACCACGGATGAGCTCAAGAAGTTCAAGCTGAAAGTGGGGGCGGTGCAGCTGCGCGAGGGCTGTCGGAACATCCCGCGGGGGGCGCTCCTGCCGCTCGACTCAGTGGACCTCACCGACAAGCTGGTGGCCTTCTACCGTGAGGACTACGCAGCAGAACTCACCGCAGCCGTGCTGCTGGACATGGGCATGCAGGAAGAGGCGACGAGACTTAAGGGGGTTGCATGAGTCTCCAGCACCAAGGATTCATTCATTCTGTATGAGTCTGGTACCGGGGCACGGGACCCAACCCCTCTTGCTCGCAGGGCTCCAGGTGTCCAGTTCTGCCCCCCGAGTCTTCCTGACCCCTCCTCCTTCAGGTTCCCTCTTAAGCTCCCCTTCAGACCTCTGGCCAACCCCTCCCTGTAGTTTAGCGCTGGGCTGATGTGGATCCTGGATGATTGGGTCCCTGGAACCCTTCGAGGTTCCTGGGTCGCCTAACACCCTGTTCCATTTAATGGGTTTTGTTCTATCTTCACAGATAAAAGATGGGCGAGTTTGGGAGTTCTGGAGTCATCAGCAGAGGTGAGAGCATGGACTGGGCAGGCCTCTGGGAGGAGGCTCCTGCCATGGGCTAGGAGACCACCAACCAGGACTGGGCTGACTGCAGAAAAGCAGAAGCGGGAGGGGCTGTTAGGCTACTCCCCTGGGGAAGTCTAGAGGCCTCAAATACCAGCATAAAAATGGTTATCTACCCCCTCTAGGAGACTGGGGGCTAAGAAGAGGAGCAACAAAATGCTGATGAAGCACCCACCCCCACCCCGGCCCACGCATACACAACAGTAGGGGAAGACAATGACTTCTCCTCAGCAGGTCTCCTCAGCAGAGATCAATCTAGGAATCCGCCCTTGCCTCCAGACTCCGCTTCCCCCAAACCTGCACCTGTCGTATATAACCCAATAAATACTTCAAGACAGACCTTCCTGGACCTTTGGATCTTCTTGGCAGCTACATGCATGTGATTTGCATTCGTATAATATGCGCAAGCTAATGTGTGCCATTGTCTCCATTCCTCAATGTTTGTATCTTTCCTGGGTGCCCATGAGGTTTGCAAAACTTGGGGCACATACAACTATGCGTGAGCTGTCGAGGTATTAAGGACTTATAGCTCCTCCAGAAAAGCAACCTGGACTGTGCTCTTAAGTGCCACCCTAGGCCTGCACACTGAGGTGCAGGACTAGGCATGCCTTGCCCTTCCTGCCTCCCTTTCTCCCTTTCAGTTAGGCCCCATGTGGTGACTCTCAGGCATGTGAGTTTCGCAGCTTAAGTTCGTGTTGGGTGCATGGGCCTCAGCCAAGCAGCTGTGCACTACAGGAGAGCATGTGCCCCGCCTCCTGGCCATGCCTCAAATCTCAATCCTCTAGTCTTATGGGATCCCACGCCACACTTACTTGCCAGCCTGACAGGACCACCGGGGTCATTCAATCACACATGGGCCATCAGGTTTAGCCCTCAGTTCAGCAGACTCCGCCCCCACAATTCTAGGTTACTCCTGGGACTGCCACTGGGAAATCTAGTTGAGCAGCGCTGCTCCCAGCCCGCCCCCCTACACTGGCCACCTTGCCCCATCCGCTTCCCCTAGCAATTCCAGGAGCCCAGGGACCTCTGAAGTCAGATTCAAATCAATGCAGCAACTTCCTAATCCTTCAGGTCCCATGCTATCCAACAACGCCATCCCACCCGGAACCCTGCAGGGTCCAGCACCTTGAGGCGCGCATGGGCCTCAGCCGCAGGCAGCAGGCGGTGGCCGCGGTGTGAACCAAGAGAGGCACAAACACCGCACACTAGTGCTCTGTCCTGCTCGCAGTAGATGCTCAGAGGATCTAGGTGTTCCTCGCAGTGGCCTTGTGGCACCTGTGCCAGACCTTCCACCAGGCGAGCCAGCTGCAGGTTGGTGTTAAGCGCCTGCGGCCGTGTGGGTGCCTGACAACAGGGGCAAAGCACTGTGCCATCCGCTGCTGGCTCCCCTGCCACACGGCCCAGGCAGGCGCGGCAGAAACTGTGGCCGCACTCAGCAGTCACAGGAGCGTCGAACAGCTGCAGGCACAACGGGCAGGATAGCTCCTGGTGCAGGAGACCTGGTGCAGCAGACATGGGGAACCTGGGAGGAGAAAAGGTGGGTCAGGGAGGCCCAAGGGCCTTGGCTGAGTCCTAGTCTGTGTCAAAGGAAGGAGTTGCAGCCTAAAAAGACCTCACATCCCATACTGGAAGGGACTCTGGTTTGGGCCAAGGGGAAAGAGAACTCAATTTCAGTCACAAAGGCAAATTCAAACATTTCTTCATTAAAAAATATATCTGCCATCCGTGTATGTATAATATGTCAAAATATACTCTATTGTCAGGTATATCTAAAAATAACACATTTTTAAAAATATTAAACACACACACTCACTCACATATCAGTACCCTTAACAACCCCAGTTCCTAAACACAAAGTCAGGCTCCAAACAGTCTTGCCCACTATTCTTGCCCATCCTGGCCCCAGGCATCAGCCTCTAACTCAGGCCTGGTCAACCCCCAGCCCCAAATCCTATAGAAATTCACCCCTAACCCTCCTCTCACTCATTTCTTGGATTCCCCAGCCCACCCCTCCCCCATATCTCCAGGCCCACAGGACTCACAGGTCTGGTTGGAGATCTTAGAACAAAAGAGACTCCCAGGAGGACCAGTAAGGGTCAACCCTACCGTAGGAGAGTCAGATACACAACAGGAAGACTCAAAGCAAGGACAGGGATCTTACAGGGGCAGCTGGCAGTGGACACCACAGATGATGGGCACATAGTGAACAGAAGTCAGACCCTCCCAGATTAAGCCATGGCCCCAGGACTATATTTAGCTGTCCTGCCCATCCCCTCCCATCACTTCTGGAAACTGTTCTAAAAGTGAGGGCTTAGTCGTCAGCAGGCAGGCATCTCATATCAGGCCACCTGTCCTGGCCCATCAGCTGCTCTCTCCCCAGCCCAGACTGGAGACAGAGCCTTCTACACCACAGAAAAGCCAGAAAACTGGGAGAGCTCTCCCCTTCTTCATGTCCACCTCCACACCCTATGGATTCCTTCCTCCTTGCCTATAACCCCTCCCCAGTTTGCCACACACTCATTTCCCAAGTTTACAGCTCATCAAGTCACAATGATGTTATTATCTTGCAGGAGGGCTTGAAACCCTGAAACAGTTTCTTCTGAGCTAAGGGAAAAGGATTTCTTCCCTAGTGCCAGCACAAGCCCTGAAACAAAGTGGGCTCCCCTAAATGCTTGGAGATTGGAAGTTAAACAGATGAATAAATGAATGGACTGAATCCAGAGCCTGAAGCCCACAACTCAATTCTTCCTTGGGAGCCTCAGGCCTTCCTGTAAGCTTATCTTTCAAGTTTCAGTTTAAATTTCATTCAGAATAAAAAACCAAAGTCCTCCTGAGGCCTACAAAGCCCTACCCCATTTGACCCCTTTCATTGCTCTGATCTGTTTCTCAACTCTCCCTCCCCCTTATTCTTCAGGGACTTTGCACTTGCCACTCCTTGACTGGAAGACTCTCAAACCCAGATATTACAAGACTTCTTCCTTTTCCTCTCAGATCTGTACTCAATGTCACATTTTCCTTTAGACCATTTTTTTTTTTAAGACAGCATCACACTAAGTAGGCTAGGCTGAGCTCAAACTCAGTATCCTCCTGCCTCAACCTCCCAAGTAGCTTGAACTATAGGACATAGTACCATACTACCACACCCAGCAACTCCCTGATTTTATAACTCTTATCTCCCCAACACCTCTCCTGCTTATTTTTCTCCATAGCATTTATCTCCATCTGACATGCAATGCATTTTACTTGTTCGTTGGTTTATTGTCTGTCTTCTCCTATCAGAATATAAATTTTGTTCAATGCTTGACTCCAGCTTAAAATGATGTGTCCCACCGTAGGGGCTCAATGAATACTCAAAGAATGTAATAAACACAGACTCAGACTCAGTCCCTCTCATCTGGCCTCAGTCTCAGCTTTGCTCAGCCTTTACCCAGTTTTGCTCATTCCTACCTTGAACTCTCTCTGTCCCTCTCAGTCTGAGTTTCTGTTTCAATCTCTTAATCTCTCCCCTTTGGACTCTCTCTTTGCCTCTCTTTTGGGTTTTTAATATTCAGTACCTTAAATGTGCACATGAGATATTCTGAATCAATCGTCAGATTTTTATTAAATAACTCACAGTAAATGCTCTGGACCACCTTGGCCCTAGGATGATGTGATTTAAAAGCCAGGTCATTTAACCTATGTAAGTAACCAGACTCCCCAAAAGCAACAAGAAAACACTATTTTCTTTGCTTAAAAAGGGAAGGAAGCAGGCACAGTGTGCACGCCTGTAACCCAAGCAGCTCAGGAGGCTGAGGTAAGAGGATCATGAGTTCAAAGCCAGTCTCAGCAATTTAACAAGACCCTAAGCAACTAAGTGAGACCCTGCCTCTAAAAAATAAAAAGGGCTGAGGATGTGGCTCAGAGGTTAAGCACATGGACTCAATGTCTGGTACCAAAAAAAAAAAAAAAAAAAGAGGAGGAAGCAGTTGTCACCCTCCTCTGCTTGAATATTTCCCCCCTACTCCAACATTTTAGTAGGTACATAAAATCTCACCAGGAATCAGATAGCCCCTTGCATGTCTTAGCTTTTACGACTAGTCCCAGGACTTGTCTCCAAGTTTGAGAATTCATTCCTTTTTGCATGTTCCATGCTGACAGTACAAGCTCACAGTGACCTGCTTTAAAAAATAGCTACACTTGGCTTCTTGGCATCTTGGAGGCTGAACCTAGAGACATTGCTCAGGCTGTAACCATTTGGTCCTCTCAGGAAGGAAAAAACTTTATTCTTTTGCATAAAGAGCAACTACCTAAGGCTGGGATTATGGCTCAGAGAGAGAGCACTCACCTAACATGCATGAGGTACTAGGTTCAATCCTCAGCACCACATAAATATAAAGTGTGTCCACCTATAACTAAAAAATAAATATTAACTTAAAAAAGAGCAATTACCTATACAAATAACTATAGATCTAATTCTGTTAGCAGGGAAGTCTCAGGAAGAGTAGTATTCTTTACTGGGATATTGAGAAATAGAGGTAAGTCTTATTTCCCCAGTTCTTTTTGTCTCTGAGTCTCTGATTTCTTCTCTGCCGTTTTTTGTTTTTTGTTTTTTAAAGAAAGAGTGAGAGAGACAGAGAGAGAGAGAGTTTTAATATTTATTTTTTAGTTTTCAGCGGACACAACATCTTTCTTTGTATGTGGTGCTGAGGATCGAACCTGGGCCGCACGCATGCCAGGCAATCGTGCTACCGCTTGAGCCACATCCCCAGCCCCTTCTCTGCCGTTTCTGACAGCTCAGACATGGCCTTGAGTAAGTAACAGGAAGGGTGTGGGGACTGTGGTGTATTTGGAGGTGGTCTCTGAAACTACAAGTCACTTCACTTAGGCTCAAAATCCACCATCCAGAATTTAGATTACATTTGAAATTTCCATCAGTTCCAAGTAGGACTTGACCCTCTCATCCACAAGAGTGGGTATCCAGGGTTGGGGTTGTAGCTCAGCAGTGGAGCACTTGCCTGGCACGTTTGAGGCCTTAGATTCGAACCTCAGCACCACACAGAAAATATAAATAAAACAAAGGTATTCTGTCCATCTACAACTAAAAATATATTTTTTTAAAAAATGGGTATCCAGGACTGAGAGGTGACATCAACTCAATCCTTCTCGGCAGATGAATCTGGCCTCTATCCCATGAAAGGGACATTTGACTATCTTAGGCAGGTGGCAAGACAAAAGTGGTGCAAGAAGCCATATCTAGGGAAAGATTGGCTCAAAGACTTTGTGGGAGGTCTGGCCCAGGCACAATTCTTTTTTTTTTTTTAATATTTTATTAGTTGTTGCTGGACCTTTATTTATTTATATGTGGTGCTGAGAATCAAACCCAGTGCTTCACACATGATAGGCAAGTGCTCTACCATTGAGCCACAACCCCAGCCCCCACACTTCACAATTCTTAACTCATTTAAGTTTCATAACCCTATCACTATTTCTCTTATAGAGAAGCCTTAACAAAGAGATAAAGTAGCTCGCCCCATGTTCTGGCAATCTGTGGTCCATCCGGCCCCAGAAGGCATAGTCTCACTTCAGCAATTCAATAGTTACTTTATTGAGTAAGGATAACACATCCAGGCATCTTACCTCCACCAATCATTCTGGCTCTTGTCCAGGGGGGCAAGGGTAAACCTGAGCTGAGACCTGGAGATTCTTGCCTACCTAGGGTCAAAGCTCAGAGGCTTGAGCCTCTGAGGCTCAGAAAGGGGTGTGGATGGGTGGGTATTAAAGGAGAAGGGTATACTGTGGATTCCCAGAAAGTCAAATGCTCCCATTCCTACCTTCCCAGGTAGAAACCATGGTGGCAGTCTTCAGAAACCAGCAGGCTTTGTCTTGATCTCCCTGGGGGACACAGGCAAGTCACTGCCCTTCTCAGAGCACTGATTTCCCTATGGGTTGGTGAGGTGAACACATCATTGACATAGCCCCAGAGAGAAGGGACTTAACTTTCCTAAGTCACACAGCTAGGAGACAGAGGATATGGGATTCAAATCTGAGATCCCTCAACTTCCTGCTTTTCCCATTATTCCTTATTTTCTAAATGTTTTGTAAGTTCTAGAGCATTTTTAAAATAGAAAGTTATACCATTACTATTAATGTTATCAAACATATTTCCTGTACACATAAGCTCTGCAAGCAATTTGTCAGTTTTTGAAGGCAGGGAATGGGACTCTGGGAATCTTGGTTGCAATTTGGGACTAGGAGATAGAAGGACATGTGTTTAACCATTTCATCACTCACTAGCAGGGTAGGCTGCCAAAATAATTTCTGAAAACCTGTTTTCCCCACAGTAAAGTAGAAATAAATACACATATCTCATGGGATTAAGAACTAAATGAGATTATGCATGTTAAGTGCTTAGCACAGTACCTATAAAACAAGAGTCAAGACATGGAAGTTCAATAAGACAGTGAAAAAAAGATTCTTCGTAAACTTTGTTTCCTTCTGGGTTCACAATGGCAGTATGCTCATTAACCTGCCCAAGGTATCACTTGTATTCACTGAGCTTCAGTCAAAAACTGCTTGTAGGAATGAGGATTCCAGCTCTGAATCACTGCATTTTCCTTGTCTCTTATGTCCCTAACCAAAGTGCTAACACTCTGAGAAGACGTCAGTTAACAATAGCAGCCAGGAGATTGAGGGGCTTAGTCTGAATATGTGTGTAACTAGGATAACACTGGTTGGATGCCACATGGGCTCAACAGGAGTGGTCCTGGATAGTGTTACCCAGAAACAAAAGAAAGGGACATAGTATCACCCCACCATAACCTTCATGCTCACCTCCCTTACCATCAGAAAGTTGGGAATGAGTAGTCCACTGATTGTTCTAAGCATCACACACATACACACTTCCTCTCACACTCCCCTCAGTGCATGTTCCTGCAGCACCAAAGTTTAAGTTGAACACATTACATTGGTTTTACTGGAAGCAAAGTCCTCCCCATCCAAACACAGGTTCAAGAGAAAACAGGTTTAGCCAAGTGCAGTGGCCTATACCTATAATCCCAGCAGTTTGGGAGACTGAGGCAGGAGTCCCGCAAGTTCAAAGTCAGACTCAGCAACTTAGCAACACCCTGTCTGGAAATTTAAAATATAAAGAGTTAGAAATGCAGCTAATGGCAAAGCACCCCTGGCTTCAATCCCTGTACAGAAAGAGAAGGGGTGGGGCAATAGAAAGGAAGAGAGGGAAAGAAAGAAAAGAAAGAAATGCATGTGAAGGATCACATCCTAAAGAAGAGCACAAATAATTTTTTTCTTAGAAAAGGTGATTACTGATAAATGTCACAGGAACTCGCCAGGTGGTACATGTGGCCCAAAGGCCAGCAAGGTGAAGGCCTGAGAAGATTAGCAACAGTTGTTGAAGGTCAACACAAGTGGCTTGGCCTTGATTCTGAGAGCTCTAGAGAGAAGGGACAGGGCCATATACATGGGTTAGAAAGATATATCCTTCTGGCCACAGGGTATTAAAAAAAAAAAGAGTTGGAGAGTCTAGAAGGACAAATACCAGTGAGGAGCCACAATAAACTGCCATAGGTCAAGGAACATTGGCTGTTGCACAAGTGCCACTCATGGTAAGGATAGCTTACCCCAGCCTGTGAGGGACATGCTACAAGGATAGGAAGCAGGGCCCTGCCACCCTGCTTGAATCTCTTGACTATAACATTCTTCAGACACCACAGCTTCATTCACTCCTTCATTCAGCCAGTCTTTACTGATAATCTACTATGTACTGGATACTGTCTTGATGCAGGGGATTCTGCAATGAGCAAGACAGATCACTGAACCTGCACTGAATCTGAAAGAGAGGGAATTGAAACTAAGAACTTTTCAAAGAACCAAACTTTTCTCCCCAATTTCTACAAAAGGAAAAGAGGACCAACAATACCTTTTGCTACTTTTAAAAGCTCTAATTCCCATCTCTTACTACCGCTCCAAAAAAAAATAATAATTGATCGATGCCCAGCAGTGGCAGACTTAGGAGGCTGAGGCTGGAGGATCACAAATTCAAGACTTAGCCATTTAGCAATACCCTGTCTCAAAAATTTTTTGATACTGAGGATTGAACCCAAGGATGCTTTACCACTGAAGTACATCCTTAGCCCTTTTTTTTAATTTTATTTATATTTTACTTTTATTATTCTTATTTTTGACATCAAGGATTAATCCACTTAAGGAATGAGCCATCCCCAGCCCTCTTTATTAAGATAAGCTCTAAATTGCTGAGGCTTTGAACTTGTAATCCTCCTACCTCGGCCTCCTGTGTCGTTGGGATTACAGGCATGCATCACCCACCTGGCTCAAAATAAAATTGAGTTAAGGATATAGCTGAGTGGTAAAGTACCCCTGGGTTCAATTGCCAGTACCCTCCCAAAAAAGTCTGCATTACTCTAGACTCCCCATAGCAGCCACTGTTGCCCTGTCTTCTTGTCCTGAGAAGGCACCTCCAATAAACATCAGCAAATAAACACCCCCAACAAAAAATTTTTTTAAATCCCTGAACCAGAGTCAACCTTCTAATGAGATGAATATTCAACAAATGAATAAATGCATAATGATGTCAGGTCATTTCACTAAAAATAATTATTCTTCTAACCCACCTAAAATGGGAAAATTAAGGATTCCCAATATTCATTGCTATGGTTCATGTGTTGGAAACTTCAACAGTGGAAACTTTAATGTGATTAAGCAATGGTAGAACATGTATAGCATGCATGAGACCCTGGGTTTTTATCCCCAGCAACATACACAAACATATAATTGCTGAGAGCTACAAACAAGTGTTATGAACAAGGGTAGGAAGGACTCTAAGCCTGGTATCCCATAGAAAGTAACATTTCACTTGAGGACTAAAGATCCAAGCATTTGTCAGGCAGAGATTTCAAGGTTGAGGGAATAGCACTTGCAAAGACAGAGAGGCAAAGGATCCTGGCACATTTGAAGAACTGAGAGACTGCAGCTTGGAGATGGAGGGAAAATTGGCTGAGACACGTTAGAAAGGTTCACAGGGTCCAGACCAACAGGACCTTTATTAGTCATGTTAAGGGTAAATTAGGGGCTGGGGATGTGGCTCAAGCGGTAGCGCGCTCGCCTGGCATGCGTGCGGCCCGGGTTCGATCCTCAGCACCACATACAAACAAAGATGTTGTGTCTGCCAAGAATTAAAAAATAGATATCAAAGAATTCTCTCTCTCTCTCTCTCCCCCTCTCTCCCCCACTCTTTCTTTAAAAAAAAAAAAGGGTAAATTAGCCCAGGCACAGTGGCACACTCCTGTAATCCCAGCAGCCTTGGAGGTTGAGACAGAGGATCTTGAGTTCAAAGCCAGCCTCAGCAACGGCAAGGTGCTAAGCAACTCAATGAGACTCTCTCTAAATAAAATACAAAATAAGGCTGGAAATGTGGCTCAGTGGTTGAGTGCCCCCAAGTTCAATCCCCAGTACCACCACCCAAAAAAAGAGTAAATTAGGGCTGGGGATGTGGCTCAGTGGTAGAGCACTTGCCTGGCATATGTGAGGCACTGGGTTCAATTCTCAGAACCACATAAAAATAAAGGTCTGTCAACAACTAAATATGTATTTTTTTAAACAAGTAAATTAAGGCTGGGGTTGTGGCTCAGTGGTAGAGTGCTTGCCTAGTGCATGTGAAGCACTGGGTTCAATTCTCAGCACATTAAAAATAAATAAAGGTATTATATGTCCATCTACAACTAAAAAAAAAATTTTTTAAAGAGTAAAATTAGCTGGGGGATGGGGTTGTGGCTCTACTAATATTGGAGTGCCTGCCTCTCAAGTGTGAGGCACTGGGTTCAAGGTATTGTGCCCATCTACAACTAAAAATATTTTTAAAAAAAATAAATTAGCTGGGTGCTTTGCATACACTGGAATTGGAACGATACAGAGAGAAGATTATCATGTCCCCTGCACGAAGGATGACATGCAAATTCATGAAGTGTTCCATATTTTTAAGAAAATGTGAACTAGCCAGGCATGGTGGAGCACACCTGTAATCCCAGCTACTCAGGTGACTGAGGCAGGATTGCAAGTTCAAGGCCAGCATCAGTCACCAAGTGAGATTCTGAGCAACTTAGCTAGACCCTGTCTCAAAATAAAGGGCTGGGGATGTGGTTCAGAGGTGAAATGCCTTGAAGAAGAAGAAGGAAGAAGGAGGAGGGAGGAGGAGGAGGAGGAGGGGGAGGGGGAGGGGGAGGAGGAGGAGGAGGAGGAGGAGAAATAATTAAAGGTTCCAAATGTAGCAAAAGCTCCAAAGCCATCCCAATCTTTCACCTGCTCTTCTGGGTCAAGTCCTAGGGGTCCAAAGTAGCTGGTTCTTTACCCACAATTCCCTCAACCAGTAGCTCTAATCATTTCCCTGGAAATTTAACCTCCAGGAGGAAATTCTGGCTCCCCTAGGAAATAAAAGTAAAGGAAACATCAGACAGCCCAAGCTAGTACATAACTGAGTGTTATTATCTCCATTTTACAGATTATGAAATTCAACTGAGATAAAAGTACACAACTATCATTTTCTTTCATACATTTCTCCCTAAAATGTTAAATTTGGGGGTTTTGGAATTCTAGCTGCTATTATTCTGACACGTACCAGTTAGGTAGCCCACATCTATAATCCTAGCTCTGAAGAAAGCTGAAGCAGGAGGATCACCAGTTAGAGAACAGTGTGGCCAATATGAGACTGTCTCAAAGAAAGTAAAGATAATGACATGCGAGTCAGGATCCTAAAGTTCAGGGAAACATGGAGATTTCAGGGTTCTAGAAATCCAAGATTCTAAACCTCTGTACTACAGTAAATGCAATATGAACAGTATGAACAGTTCCTGTTCTGTAGCGGCTGGTGCAAGCCTGGAGACATATCACTCAATGAGCCCCTCAGCAGCTCATCTTCCAGGCCTCACCTCACTGACCAACTAGAAGATAATATCCTGCATCCCCTATGGAGTATAGAGGATTCACTGGGCAGGAACCAACAGCCACAAATGGTTCTTGCCCAAAGCCAACCAGCAGGGGAAGTGATGGGAGTGGGAGGTGCAAGTCCCAGGTCCTGCCCCTCAGCAGACTTCCTGGTTTGCAGGAGGCAGGCAGGGTGAGAAGCAGCTGCAGCAGCCAGGAACCCCAGAGCCATGGGGCGCGGGAGGGACGCCATCCTGGAGGCACTGGAGAACCTGACTGCCGATGAGCTCAAGAAGTTCAAGTTGAAGCTGCTATCAGTCCCACTGCGTGATGGGTATGGGCGCATACCAAGGGGGACGCTGATGCCCATGGATGCAGTGGACCTCACTGACAAGCTCGTTAGCTTCTATCTGGAAGCATATGGCACAGAGCTCACGGCGGCTGTGCTTCGTGACATGGGCATGCAGGAGATGGCAGAGCAGCTGCAGGAGGCCATGCCCAAGGGTAAGTATGCCCAGCCCCTTCATCTACCAATTTCCTCCATCCAGCCAAACATGTTTTGCCCTTCCCACTCTTCTGCTTTCTGTTCCCCCTCCATTACAAAATAAATTCTCCTATGCTAGAAAGGGACCTTCCCATTTAGTGTGGAACTTGGCATTCTGACCCAGGGGGCCCTAAGACTCCCAGATAGGGTGGAAATGGAAGTTCATTTTTTTCCACAGGTTCTGGATCTGTGCCAGCTGGAATCAAGGGCCCTCCTCAGGTAGCAGCCAAGGCAGGTGAGGCTTCCACACCCTATTTGGAGGGGCAGGGATCTCTAGCTCTACCCCATCACCACCACCACCCCACCCCCCCACCCCCCGCAGTTTGTTGTCCCTCTGCCAGAACTAGACTGGGCAAACCGCCCCCCCCACACACACACACACACCTCTGGGAGGGAGCTTGGTCTATCTCACTCCATCTGGAGCCCTGATAAGTTGCCTCCCGGGTATTTTTGAAGAGTATTTTTGAAGGGAACAGGCTCAAGCACCTACCCTGGGTGCTGGCTCATCTGTTCTCTCTCCCATCACAGCACACTTTGTGGACCAACACCGAGCAGCACTCATCAATCGGGTTACAAACGTCGATGGGGTGCTGGACGCCCTGTATGGCAAGGTCCTGACTGAGGAACAATACCAGGCAGTGCGGGCAGAGACCACCAACCCAACAAAGATGAGGAAGCTTTTCAGCTTTGCTCCAGCCTGGAACCTGACGTGCAAGGATCTACTCCTTCAGGCCCTGAGGGATACCCAGCCCTACCTGGTGGCCGACTTGGAGCAGAGCTGAGGCATCTTTCCCATCAACCCATTGCAGCTCCAGCTCCCGCCAAGTCATCCCAAATTTCTTAATTTTTGATACACAATATACAAAAACAAAAAACAAAAAACCAACTTGTAGTTGTGTGGTTCTTTTTTTTTCCTCCAGCTCTAAACATGATGTGCAGAGCCATGCTAGAGTTCCTGAGCCATACAGGCTGAGGGTGTCATAAAGCCTGTGCTTTATATACACAAAGCCCTAGAATAAATCCACAGGCTTAAGTTCATTTGACTGTTCATGCTCATAGGGCATCAAGCTCACCAACTGCTTCCTAATTCACCATTTTGTGGTTCTTCCTGCGCTACCCGAGTCTGCTCTTGTGATTATACACAAAAAGCCCATGGCCAAGATCACAAAGAGAGGCATGTATAAAGGATCTAGAGCCATTGGGGGCCAGATTTGTCCAAGGCATTTAGAAATAAGACTAGCCTACACAGAAGAGCACAAGCCACACATTAATTCTGGAATTCCTTTGGGCACTGACATAAGTAGCCTTTCTCTGGTAAACCCCATCCCAGAGTTACACAGAGAACATGCCAACCATAAAAGCAAACTTTCAGGAAATGAGTTCTGGTGGCTACTTTTTCTCGATGATATTTTTGCCTCCAAAGAGAAATATTAGTTTCCAAGGAAAAGCATTAAAGAGCCTTTCCAGAGGCTGTTTAGAGAACCTAGGGCAACTGAGTACATTTCATACCCAACTCTTCCTGACCTTGAAGGGAGAAATTTGCAAAGCGAACAGCAGATACCTGAAAGACCCAAATCCTATTCTGGAATTAGAATCTTCAACCACTTTCCTACTTCATTGCCCCACCAGGTATACCTGCAACAGGCCTCCTCTTGAGTCTATCTCCTAGTGGCTGTCACTAAAACTGATGGTGAGGGCTAGGAATTTTTAGCACCGTGGTAGAGCATTTGCCTAGCACATGTGAGGCAGTGGGTTTGAGCCTCAGCACCACATAAACAAATAAAACAAAGGTATTGAGTCTTATACAAAGAAAAATAAAAATTAAATAAACTTAAGACTGATAGTGAGCCAGGCATGGTGGCACATGCCTGTAATCCCAGTGGCTCCAGAGGCTGAGGCAGGATAGTGAGTTTAAAGCAAGCCTCAACAACTTATTGAGGCACAAAGTAACTAAGAAAGACCCTGTCTCTAAAAATGTAAAGGGCTGGTGGTGCATGCCTGTAATCCCAGCGGCTTGGGAGGCTGAGGCAGGAGGATCGTCAAGTTCAAAGCCAGCCTCAGCATAAGTCAGGCACTAAGCAATTTAGTGAGACATCTCTGCCTCTAAATAAATACAATAATTTATTATTTTAGGGAAGCTGTTTCTTGGGAGTCAGTGGGCAGATGCCACTGAATTCAATGGCCCCTACCCAAAAAGCAGGGAAGGGGACTGAGGATGTGGCTCAGAGGTTAAAACCCTTGGGGTCAATCCCCAGTACCAAAGAAAATAAAACTAATGGTGACAAGAGCTGGGCACAGTGGCACATGCCTGTAATCTCAACAGCTCAAGAGGCTGAGGCAGGAGGATGAAGTTCAAGGCCAGCCTCAACAACTTAATGAAGCCCTACAACTTAGCAAGATCCTGTCTCAAAAGTTTCCAAAAAATAGGGCTGGGGTTGTGTTGTGGCTCAGTGGTAGAGCGCTCACCTAGCATGCACGAGGCACTGGGTTTGATCCTCAACACCACATAAATGGAAAATATTGTGTCCACCTAAAACTAAATATTTTTTTTAAAGTTTCAAAAAAGTAAGGCTGGGATATAACTCAGTGGTAAAGTGCCCCCCAAAAAACTTCACTTACATAACTTCCTTCAAGCCTATCTAACCTCTCCCATACCCCACCACTATCTCAGCAACACTATTTTGTTCAACAATCAGCATCATACATCCAGCACCTATATCCCTTAGCTCAACAACCCTGAAATCTTCTGTCTGTCCCTACATGCCCAAAATCGAACTTTTCTCTGGCTCCAGTGGAACTTTAGGTCACAGCAAACCACTTGTCATAGTGTAATGAAGGAGTCTTATGTGATGTACACTAAGTTCCATAAGAGACATCTTCTCATGCTCTATATAAATGCCATGTTAAACTGGGTGCACTGGCACACACCTGTAATCCCAGCAGCTTAGGAGGCTGAAGCAAGAGAATTGCAAATTCAAAGACAGCCTTAGCTCAGTTGGTGGAGGGCTTGCATTGCATGCACAAGGCCCTGGGTTCAAACCCCAGCACCACCAAAAAAGGGGGGGAAAAGGTTGCAAAGCCAGCCTCAGCAATCTAGTAAGGCCCTAAGCAACTCATTGAGACCCTGTCTCTAAATAAAATATGAGGATGTGGGGATGTGGCTCAAGCGGTAGCGCGCTCGCCTGGCATGCGTGCAGCCCGGGTTCGATCCTCAGCACCACATACAGAGATGTTGTGTCTGCCAAAAACTAAAAAAATGTTTAAAATTCTAAAAAAATAAAATAAAATAAATAAATAAAATATGAAAAAGGGCTAGGGTTGTGCCTTAATGGTTAAGCAGTCCTTGGGTTGAATCACTGGTACAAATAAACAATAAATTGTAGTTACTGGGCTGGGGATGTGGCTCAACCGGTAGCGCGCTCGCTTGGCATGCGTGTGGCCCGGGTTCGATCCTCAGCACCACATACAAAGATGTGTATGCCGAAAAATAAATAAATATTAAAAAATTCTCTCTCTCTCTTAAAAAAAAATAAAATAAAATAAAAAAATAAATTGTAGTTACTATGTATTCCTAGTATCTAACATTTTTTTAACAAAACTTCACCTAGGAATAACACACAAATTTCCTTAAGATAGGTGCAAAAAAAAAAAAAAAATCAGTCCTAAAGTGAAGTGGACCCCAAGAAACAGCTTCCCTAAAATAAATCTTCAGGGAGGTGGCCTCCTTTTCCTTTGGTGAGGTGAAAGGGAGGACTTCATTCCACCCAAAATCTCCTCACACTGTTCAGCATACAATAGTGGTTAAGAGCAGGCATACAATCTTAAGGGCAGTTTTACTAAGGACAGGAATTCAAATTCTAGCTCTACATGTGTCACAAGCTATCGGATAGTTGGTGCCTCAGAAGCCCATATGCAAAGTGGGAACAGGACAAAGTTCATCATCTAATAGCAAATTCTTCCACAGAAAACATACTTGTTAGCAACTCTCTGCTGGATGGTTTGTTCCTAGCTCCCCAATGCCTCAGAATAGCATCTGAGCAATCTCCACTGTCCCAAGAGCAGTTCAAAGTGCACCTCTAGCCCCACCATCTGGCTCATCCTGCCAGTCCCAGATCAGGTGGCAGTTTCTTGAGAGCTTTTGAAGGTCTAGCCCCAGTTCAGACAGTCCCACACATCTTTAGCAAACTGAAGCACATCCCAGGTAAGTGAAGAGTCTGGAAACACCCTGGAAGAGTAGAAGTAAATAGCAATTGACCACATCAAGTAGAGAAATTCCTGCAAAGACCCAGAATTGGGTTGTTTTTGTTGTTGTTGTTGCTTTGTTTTGTTTTCGATGCTAGGGATCAAACCCAGGGTCTTGTGCATGCATGCAAGGCAAGCATTCTACCATCTGAGCTATATATCCCCAGACCCTAGGATTGGTTCTGAGACATTCAACAAAAGAGCAACTCAAAGAACCTTTCTCTATATACTGGCACTCTATCCCCATCCTCATTGGAGCCACACTAAAATTTTCCAAATTTCAGCCCCATCCCTCCATGATGCCCAGGACCTCACACAAAAATTAAAACCCGAAGGGAAATAAAAAAGAGCTGTAAAACATTTCTTCCTCAAACTTTACATTCAGCCCACCGTGCAGTGTAAGTATACTGCCTAAAATCCCAGCAGCTCAGGAGGCTGAGACAGGATCACAGGATCGTCGAGTTCAAAGACAGCCTCAGCGAGACCCTGTCTCTAATATAAAATACAAAATAGAGCTGGGAATGTGGCTCAGTGGTCATGTGGTCCTGAGCTCAACCCCCAGTACCAAAAAAACCCTTACACTGAATATTCAGAAGACTCAGAAACAAGCCAAGGCTGACTACGCCTGTGCTATTTAAATCTAGAACTCATATGCAGGATTCACACCTTTTTTTCTTAGCTCCTAGACAGTACTGTAGCACTCACTGTTTGCATAGTCAAGTTCCCCCTTCATGGTGAAGTAGGGGGAATGAGCAAGAATTGAGAGACTGTCCAACTCTTTTTTTTTTTTTAAAGCATTACTCTTAAGTAGGCTGCTGCCTTCCAATCCACCATTTGCACTGGAACCACAAAGATTTTCTTAAAAACCATTACAAGGTTGAATCCTCAGATGCTAGAGAAAATATAAAGGCCACCATACAGAAGAAATTCCTCCTGATTAGCCTCAACTATCAGAAGATGGACATACAAGTGTCAAAAGGAGTCCACCCTTCATCTTGTCCTGAGGTTCTGTGGTGGTGCCAAGAAAAGGAAGTCATCTCATAACCACTCCCAAGAACAAGCGAAAATAGCTGGCTATAAAAATGGCAAAATTAATCTCCTTCATCAGAATGCCCCAAGATGATTGTGGTGCTTGAGTTTTTATGCTCAACCACTCTGATAGACATTACTGTGGCAAGTGTTGTCTTTCTGCTTCAACAAACCATAAAATTGTTGAGTTAAAGACATGAACGAAAAAATTAATTTAAAAAACACCCACAGCGTATTACCAGAGCATGTATTAGAAATGCACACCTTAGCTGGACACTATGGGGCATGACTGTAATTCCAATTCTCAGGAGGTTGAGGCAGGGAACATCAAAAGTTAGAGGCCAGCCTGGCCCACTTAGCAAGACACTATCTCAAAAATAAAATAAAAAAGGGCATGGTGGCACACACCTCTAATCCCAGCGGCTTAGGAGGCTGAGGTAGGAGGACGGCAAGTTCAAAACCAGCCTCCATAAATTAGCAAGGCCCTACAGCAACTTATGAGCTCCTACCACTATTTAAAAAAAAAAAAGCTAGGTATACAGCTCAAAGTAGGAACCAAGATTCAATGCCTAGTTAACACCCCCAAAAAAAGTATACAATGTACATATTAACCAT